CTCTAATAAACACACACTTTCTGCTTCGTGGAGCCATCTTATGTCGTGAGTTAGATAGGGTAGCAGCATAGCATAAACACCCTAGAACTCTTAAAGTGCTGAGATCAGGAGGCTTACCATATAGTTTCAGATGCGGACTCAACCAATTAAGAACAGCTGATGGTAGTCTATTGATAAGATATACCGCATGCATAACACACTGTCCCCAAAGCTCAAGAGGGAGGCCTGCTTGGAATCTTAAAGCACGAGCTACTGCCAATATGTGTTGATGTTTTCTCTCAACTACGGCGTTTTGCTGAGGAGTATTAACACAGGACCTCTGATGAATGATGCCATTTTTGTTGAAGAAATCCTTCATATCAAATTCTAGACCATTATCACTTCTCACAGATTTGATGATTACCCCAAACTGAGTGTGTACCATCTTATAGAAATCTCTTATCAATTCTCGAGTTTCTGATTTATGTCTCATGAGCTTCAACCATGTATGTCTAGAATGATCATCCACGATAGTTAAGAAATATCTTTCACCTTTCATAGTTTCAACATGAAAAGGCCCCCATATGTCCATATGGACTAAATCAAAACATGCTGTAGATCTGGAATTGCTTGTGGGAAAAGGAGATCTCCTGTGCTTTGCAAGATGACATGTATCACACACCAAATTCTTTGTATTAGCAACAGATATATCAAGAAGATGCAATTTATTAACGGGAAAATGTCCCAACCGTTGATGCCACAACTCAGCGTTATTAAACTGCATGAAAAGACTATCATCAACAACAGAATTGGCACTAAATTCTGGTGGTTCATTAAGCAAATATAACCCCTTTTCCTCCTTAGCAAAAACAGTGATCCTCCCATGGTCCACTAGAAGACACTGACCACAGGCAAATAACAACATATGAGGGGTATTTTTCAGCAACTTATTTACAGAAATGATGTTGAACCTAAATGAAGGGATATGTAAGGCGTCATTCAACCACATATTATTTTTCAACTTTATATTTCCCATGTGTTTGACAGCTACACTGTTTCCATTTGGCAGATTAACCATGGCTCCTTCCACAACACGATAATCATCGAAAAAATCAAGAGAACATATTATGTGGTCAGTGGCACCCGAATCTACAATCCACATAGATGATGTTAAAGAAACAGAATTAATCTGAAAGAGGTCAATATACTTGCCTCCATTGCTAGGATCTGTATTGTTGAACTTGGGAACTAAAGTCACGGCTGCAGTGCTAGGTTGCTGACTATGTCCCAATTGTCCTTGAAGAAGAGATATTAGGTTCTGGATTTGATTAGGAGTGAAGCCATTATCAAACTGTGCAGCTGCTGCGTTGGAAGTGTATTGTTTTCCACCTTGTTTTAGACCGTAGATTTCATTCCGTAGAGACAATATGCTTTGTGCATTTCTTTGAGAAAAACTTCTTCTCAGATACAGAGGACTGTCTATGTCCTCGCTTGTGTTCCTCTGCGGAACCTGTACTCTTTGCGCATTGGCTACTGAACTTGCGCGAATGGGAGATCTGATGATTGGAGACGCCGGATGAGCTCCTTGACTGAATTCGTCGGAGCCGGAGACTGCGGCGGCGTAAGTTACTCGCCGCGGCTCTGATACCATTTCGGAAGTTTGATGACAAAGAGGTTTGATGGGAAGAAGAACAAAACCATTGATTTCCATTAAGTCTGCAAGGAGAAGAACAGAAACGTATATGTACAGAGAAGAAGGAAATAAAAGAAAACGGTTAGAACAACTTTGCAAATTACAAGAACACCCCTACTTTACTAATTCAATCAAGGGTGTTTGTGTCTTCTCCAATAGAGGAGAAAGGCAAAAGGAATTTTTAAAAAAGAAGGTGCGTTTAAACAAGATTCAAACCACCAATCTCTAAGCAGAAACACGGTAGACGCACATTTTACCATTTTTTCATTTGGAGAACTTAGGAATCAATGTCTCCAAAATCATAGAAAAGGCAAAGAATGGAGAAGAGATAAGATATTGGAGAATTAATTTTAGTAAATAAGTTTTTCATTTTTCCGTTTTTCACTTCTTCAATTTTTCATTTTTCTTGAAAATTCTTCAATTCTCCACTTTGGGTAAACAACCCCTTATATATTCATGTGCCCAGTTAGACGTAGTTAGTGCACTAAACGCTCTCAATCTAGGTTAGACTTTTATTCTCATTAAATGGACTCCACAAATTTTGTATTTGTAAGATAAAAACATCAAAAAATCTCACCCCATTTGTTGAAAACCTCCATCTTTTTTTTTTTTTTTTTTTTTTTTTTTTTTCAAATTCTCCAAAAATCACTCAAATGATTGCTCTAAGGATTGAATTGAGATCTTTTGGACAATTTACTTCAACTTTTGAATATAATATATGTGACAAAAATAATAAAATAAATTCAACTATATATCACAATGGTATTAGATCATCGAACAAAAAACAAATCAATTGAACCATTAAATCTTTTGAAACAATACAATTACCATTTTTAACATCTAACGATTAAATTTTGCTTATTTAGCATATATATGTATATATAGGCTTAGACTCTGGTGCAAAATATACCTCAGATGCAAAAGTGAGGAGAAATCTAAACTAATTAAATTTCTTTTAATTTTCAATTCAAAATGACTTTTTGGTTAGAAAATTGTTATGTTTCCATTGTTAAATTTAGCTTTAGCTACCATGTTCATTTCGAATTTGACAATTTTTAAATTTATTTTTTGTACTATTGATTTTGTTACAATGTACTCCGTAGTATTTGTTCATAACCATTTCTCAATCTACTGAAGTACAAAGAGTCAATATTACATCCACTGAAACTCGAACCCGCAACCTCTCAAATGAGAGAGTAACTTGGTGCCAGACAATTTTTTTTTTTTTTTTTAAATAGAGAAAATGGCGAGTTTGGTCCCTGAGTTATAGCCGTAGTGGCGACTCAGTCCTCGTGTTATTACCGTTTCCATTTTTAGTCCCTCAGTTATGAGAGAAGTTGCGAGTTTGGTCCATGATGCTATTGGTGTGTTGACAAAGTTAATTCCAGGGGTAAAGAAATAAATTCCTTAATAAAACTTGTAAACTTACCCAAAATACTTTCTTCCAAATTGACAAAAGCCTAAGTTGCTTATGTAATCAGAGAAGAAACTCTATTCCCGTTTTTCTAAAATATATAATTTCAATATTTCAATTCTATTTATTAAAAAAAACAACTTAAATTACAATTTTTTGACAAATACAAAAATTTGCTCCATAACATGGACAAGCTTGGTATATTTTTCCTCAATTAGCATAACTCCATGACATTTTGATGTGTAATAAATCATCATATCTACATCAAAAATTATCTCCAAATTGAGAGAAAGATGAAGTACCACAACTAAGAGATGACATCCTATAATTAATGGCTAAAGTAGTTCATCAATACGGAGAATATTGATTATTATTTATTTAAACATATATATAAAATAGAGAAACAACTTACCTGTGAATTTCGCAGCTTGGAAGTGGACGAATTTGAGATTTCAAAGCTTAGGGTAGAAAAAAAAAACATTCGGTTGTAGGTATAAGAAGAAAATAATAACGGTTGCGCAATGGGTTTCAACATAAGAAGGGGATTATAATTTGAAATTCCTATTTTACTCCTCTATTATTAAATTGTTTTAAAGTTTTATGTTAGCTGCAGACGGAATACTAACGCTAGGGACCAAACTCGCCACTTCGCTCATAACTTAGAGACTAAACTCGGATACGGCCATAACTTAGTGACTGAGTCGAAACTTGATTATAACTCGGGGACTAAAGATGCAATTTTCCCTTTTAAATATTCATTGATTACTATAAACTAAATTCGTAGACTCCATTATAAGTTCAAAAAGTTTACTTAGTAATCAAATAAAAAGACAATTGATAATATATGAAAGAGTACTTAGCAAAACTCTTTTGGGTATAATACAATAAGTATTATTGAGACATCTATAATATGCTATTACATTATAATTTAATGATCAAAAGTTTAATTTTGTCTTTTGGTTAGATGGAGAATCTCATCAGAGAGTTGTTGCACTATTTGTTATCACGTTGGAGTTGCTATAAGTAATTAAATACGTAATGTTTTTCTTCTTTAAAAAAAATCGTAATGTTAGATTCTAATTGCACTATTTGTTGTCTTACCACGGTATTTTATTGAAGGTTTTTTTAGTTAAAAGAACTCAATTTTATTATTCATTCAACTTAAAAAGTGAAATTGATACTCTTTTCTTCAATTAATATGTAACGTATCCAATTTAATTGTGGACTCTTTTTTTCCTCAATCAAGGACAAGGTACGCTAAGATTAATATGTAATGTGTCCAATTTCATCATTGACTAATTATGTTTTGTGTTGGTTAAGGTCTCATGGGTGACAAAATAGCCCTCATAAAGTTGAGGATAAATATATTTTTAAGATTCAAATTCGAGACTTCTGATTAAAAAATTATTGAATTTAAAGGTGTTGATAAGTAGGATAAATTATGTATTAGTACTAAACTAAATACAAACATGACTTCTGATTAAAAAACTACTGAATTTTATAGGTGTCTATAAGTAGGATAAATTATGTATTAGTACTAAATATAAACATGGTATGACTTGTTGCACCGAGTGCTATACAAATATTGATCGTGCTGGATACCATTCAAATAATATATATGATTGTATCAGATACAAAAACAAACCAGCATACTACACATCCAACCATCCAGCAAGCTAAGGAAACATATAAGACATTTTTATGGCATTTAAAAATCATCATTAAAAGTCAAATCTAAGAAGTTGAAGTTTCACTACTAAATCAACCAAAGAGACTGACAACACCATATTCATATCAAAGAAGGTCACTGACCAAAGGATGGTGGTAGAAACGTTGCACTTTGGACTTCAAATTTGAATACCTTTCATTCATTTTGTCCATCTCAACCCCAATTGCAACCTCATCTTCAAGTTTCTTGAGTTTCTTCTGTAGCTTTTCCAACTCTTGTTTGGTGTCCGCCACTGCTTTCTTCTTCCCTTCCATCTCTTCAAGAGCCTTCGTCCTCGTTGCCTTCAACCTCCCAGCTTCCATCATGGACTTCTTAGCTTCGTAAATCTGTTCCACCCTGCAACGAAGCCACCCAATCTCCACCCTTGCGAGCTCAAGATCACTGACTAGATTGAGCATGGATTTGAGCTCCCCAGCCGCGATACTCAGTATGTCCATGCTGTCCAATCTCTGGTATACGCTGCACACGCTCTCCAGGAAAGAAGAACGGTATTCAACAGATTGGAGGACACTTTCCTTCACAATATCCCCATACCTGGCAAAGATTTTCTTGATAAGAGGTGCGTTTTCTGGCTTCACCATGTACCCCCCATCAACCTTTACCAGAAAATTATCCGGTGCTGAGCTAACTTCCTCGTCATCATTAGAGCCTACAAGCTGTAGGATCTGTGTGAGGTTAAAGTTACTAGATCGCGTTGAATGATCAGCAGCAGCACTACTTGTTGCATTAGGGACTACTTGTGTTGCATCATCATCAGCAGGCTTGCATAAGACATCAAAAAAGAATGCTTCCCATTATAATTAACATTTAAAAAAAAAAAAAGAAAACTTGATCAAGATGTTTAAAAGGCAAAACAATGCAGTAGTACCTCTGTTTGGTGCTCAAGATTGTGTGGAGCAGCAGCATTATTCATCTGTTTGGGTCTTGGAATAATACGTTGGGCACACTTCGTGGTAGAACGCAATGATCTGCGTGCAGCACAGTGTCCAAGCCACGATGCCTTTGCCTGGCGAGTAACATATCCATGGCAGACAGTTTGAGTACTCGGAGTAAAAGTTTAGATAGTTAAATGTAAATTACTGATTGCATACACAGCAAGCAACAATTCCTTCAAGTCTTCAACCAACCATTCATTGCAGTGAAGGTCAAGTAATGAACATCTCTTAAACCGTATAGTTACTAAATTGGAATTCTCTCCCAAAACTAGAGCAAATACCACAGCCACAAGGCACAAACTAGAGTAAATTCTGAACAATCTTTTATTTCTCTAATATTTCACCCCATAATCACAAATATGTGATGTCTATTTGTATTGAACCGGACAAGTAAGAGAGTTTATGCTTGAATTTCATAATTCATAGAAGCAAGTGTATATTACAGTTCCAAAACAGTAATACAGCAACTGAACTTCAATGTGGAAAGTGGATGAAGCCTCCAAGCTCATAGAAAAACTATGGCATTTACATAATAATAAGACAATATTCAGGCCAAAATTTTAACTATGAATTTGAAGGAAAATGACAGTGATAGATCATCATAAGAAAAAAGATTCGGATTTAGGGCATGCCGAAGGAAAAGGGCTTTACCGGAGGTGACGGCGGCGATGATGAAGGTTGTTCGGGTAAAATATCCTCGAAAACAAATCCAAAGGTCTCCGCTTCTCCACCTTCAAGTCCACTCTTCTTCCTTGACGCCGCACCTCGAGTGCTTCTTGTTCTCTTCGACATTTTTGCTTCCAAATAGCTCCCAACCTCCTTATCTCTCTCTCTCTCTCTCTTTCAAATTTGAGGCAAATGATAAACGAAGAGAAAGAAGAGAAATAGGGTTTCAAATTTCTCCCTGCTCTCAGTCAAATGATAAATGTAGAGACAGAAGGGAAAGGGGAAATGGGTTTCAGGTATCACCATCTTTTTTCTTCTTCTAGTAAGCTTCAATGGTGGCACTTCATAGAATCACATATACATTGCAGCTACTAAATATAACATCTCTCTTTTCTTTTTCTTTTTTCGAAAACACCGTACCACCCAATGTTTTCAAAATTCAAATATAACATCTATAGTAGATGAAAAATGTTACAACTTATTTGATGTAGTCGGTTTTGTAAATAAACTTCATGGGTTTACACACATATGAATGTAAATCATAATTATAATTAATATTTGATTGATAATTTTTAAAAACACAATTATGAAATTTAATTATTCTTTTAATTAAAAATATCATTATTTAATTTAAAACGAGTATCATTAGTAATTTAATTTATAAATTTGAATTAGTGATTTTTAGATTTTAGTAATACTTTGGATATTATTATACTATGATCAATTGTGTTAATTTTTTATTTTTGTATTTTTAAAACCTTTATTCTCATTATAAGATACACAATTGTATGAATCATGATCTACGCAATAATAATTGAATTAAGGTTTTAAATTTTAACCATTTCACTTAGCTCATTCCCATTTGGGAAAAGGGGAGAGAGGAGAAGAAAAATAAAAATATTTTGTAACGTAACACAATTTTTTTTCTCTTTGGACGCCCCCTCCTATGGGTGTTCTAAAATGCAACGTTGACGCGTCTATTACGAACCGGGGTGTTTACTTTGCAGCTGTCGTACGTGATCATAACGGAGCCTTCAAAGCCGCGCGTAGTGGCAAACTCAATTGCCATGCCGACCCTTATCACGCGAAAGCTATGGCGGCTATGGAAGCTTTGACGTGGTTGAAGGATGGACTTCTAGTGGAGTACGTTTTGGAGTCTGATTGCTTGCAATTTGTAAACACTTTTAATTCACGCTCTCATGATCTTTCATATGTTGGTATTGTAGTTCAGTAATGTCGTTCAATTGCTAGGGGCATGGGCAATCTCTTGGTTTGCCATGTCAAAAAGTCAACGAATTATGTCGCCCACATACTAGCACGAGCGGCTAATTCTTCCTTTGTCCTTGGGTCTTGGAGTCCTACTCCGCCGAATTGCATTTTGAGCTTAATATAATGGTTTTGTTGGTTTAAAAAAAAAAAAAAACAATCTTTTAATCACAATAAGTTGAAGAATATTTTTACCTTGTTATAAATATATATACTTAGTGGACATTATTATGTAACGGACGTAACGGTCCGGTAATTAAGCATACCATTATTGTATCTGTTATACTTGCATTGTATATATACTTACATATGTTGTATTGTTTGGATGCTAGTGAAATGAAACTTACTCTTCCCCCTATCTCTATATACTATGTTCTTGTTTTAGCTTATACGGAGTACTTTGAATACTATACTCAAATCACCGGTTAGGAGCTAACGGGCACAAACAACATTACAACACGTTATCAGTACGCTCAATTACGGTGAACGGTACAAATCCCCATTTACTTGAATATGCATTTTTTTCATAATTGATATGATATATGCAATTTGTATGTTTAACATGAAATTGCTTCTACTATACAATTGTATGCCTTTTATGTATATGAATATGGCTGTTTCTGTGTTTCAATATAGAAAGCAATATCACCAATCAATCATAGATGTATATATATTTTCGTATGTGTATATAAACAAACAAAAAAAAAGGATTTTTTATCATACATCATTTTTTTTCCAGTATGCATATATTGGAAAGAGTAAAAAAAAAGGAATGAAAAAAGCAACCACTTCTTTTGGATATTATTTGATATGGAATATGTTTATGCCTAATATATATTCGAATTCATACCAGTTTTATATATATAAGGGGATGCAAAACATTCTGTACATATATGTTTTCTGTATGCATTCAAGAGATAATTCATGTTTTTTGCAAACATCCTCTTTAACATTTGTATTATACAGTTCAGTTTTTCTAAAAACAAAACAAAAATTGTTTTTGTCGTTTCATCCGGTGGGTTAAAACCTTTGGCCATTATTCACCATGGCCAAGGCGCAGTTGTGCTGTCGCTGGAATCTGGTAGATTCCCGGTGGAGCAGCCGGTGGATTCACTTCCTCACCGCCAACCCCCGGAAACAAATAATCAAGGGCTTTGATTAGAAACGATCTTGATAGCCGGATATGAAAATCAAAACAATTGTACTTAAACGATCGAAAAATTTCAAAAATTGCCACTAATATGCAGCAATATCCGTATGTTTTTCGAAAAAATGAAAAACAAAAACCTGTTTTGGCTGTTTTTTTTTGCCGCCGTTATCCGCCTTCGATCTATATCTCGGGTCGTCGTAGCTCGGTCGGAGAAGGCAGGCGGCGGCGCTTGGGCGGAGGACGACAAGCGACGGATCTCCAGAGGTTTGACGGCAGCGTCGCCAACGGCCAGCTTCGTCCGGTGGTGTCGATGGTGGTGCTGCTTGATGGCGGCGACGCTCCTCCGCGAGGTTGCCGCTACCGTTCACGATCTTCCAGCTCAGGGAGGCTGTGGCGACGGTGGATCCCGATCTGCCACCATCTTTCCATCTCCGATCTGCGTTGTGGGGACGGTGGCGCCGGTTTGCAACGGCGACGGCGGCGTTATGCGATCATCCGGCAGAGGGCCGCAGCATGGTGCTTCTGCAGTTAACGGTAGCGACCGATGGTGATGATTTTTGCATCCGCATCTCTCTCCCTCTCTCGCACGTTTTTTTCCGTTTTTTTTAAGCTGCTGCGTTTTGAATGATGATGAAGGAGCCTTAGGCCGGGTCTGAACCAATTCGGCCAGACCTGGGCTTATTAAAACAAATGATTTGAGTTTATTGTTATTGGGCTCATTTTGTGTTCATAAGTTATTGAACAAGGATGATGGATTATGTTGGACCATGACTGGCCCAATTCGATATTTTTGGAGGGTCTTCTTTGGTTTGTTTAAAGTATTAGGGATTGCTTTACATTCCGGACCCCATTTATTTTAAGATTTGGGTTTAATTTTTTCTTTTTTTTTGGATTAACCCAATTTTCTTAAAATCATCTTTCATCATTTGTTATTTGGGCATATATTTATTTATTTAAGGTATTTGGACTAGCCTTAAATCTATGCATGCTCATACACTTAATTGCTATTATTGTGCAATTTGTTTGCTTTATATGAGTTCATATGCATAATATATAGTTTTATTATTATGCGAATGTCAAATTATTCTTTAGAAGTGGATCCTCGTTTTTAGGCAGCCTTAGTATATATAATTTTTTTTGCAAAATTTCGATCTTGGCTACTATCATCGAGTGTGAATTCACTGAGCTTGGTTTCAATGGGAGCAATTAATTAGAAGTCCACGAGCGATGAGGCTTGGAAAGCTAAAAACCCTAATTTTTTTTTCCTCGCCATCATCTGAACCATGACCTGAAAAATGAATACCTTTCTGAAAAAGGATTCCTTTGCCTTATAAAAATCCCTGAAGGATAGTTTTAACTAGCAAATATTCCTAGCTCTTCTTTGGACACAATTTGATTGACTTAACTTGAGATTTCAAGATTTCTAAAGTCAGTGACTGATTATAATTTGGCTTTACACAAAATTGTGTCCCAATTTAACTCTGCACCTGTGCCCGAAGCACACAATGTTGCTCATTCATGCAACACCAAGAGGGGTCGAGGAAGAGGTCGCGATAGGAATCAAGGCAAAGGTGGCAACAGTAACTCCCGAAACCATAATACACAGCAATATGATCCAACTCGTCGAGGACAACCAACCACTTTCATACAATTTGAACTCTGGCCCAACAACGAGTATGCTTCAAGTGCGGGTGTACAGGGCACTGATCAAGTACGTGCCACACCCCGAAGCGTTTTGTTGAAAACTACCAACAGATTATAAAATCACGATAATGAGAAGCAAAAGGTTGAATCCAACCATGCTGCATTGCCTGAAGCAAACACTCTTGTTGGTAATAATGTTGATCTACTGAAACACGAGCTCAAGGTTTGATCATTATCTACAAACCTCTAACTTCTTCCTTCCATTTTATAAATGTTTTCTATTGTGGGCTCCAGAAGAGCGTCACTCATACTACCTAAGGGTACTTGTTTAAAAATAAAAATAAAAAAGCACTCCTATATCCTCAATGAAAAGAACGTTGCTTCATATGATCATAATTCTGGCCCAGCAGCAAATATGTTTCAATTGTTGGTTAAAAAGGCACCGTCACGTGCGTGTCACATCCCGAAGCAGTTTGTTGAAACCTAAATGAACATCACAATGTTGAATCCAATCAAGTTGCCTTGCCTGAAGCAAACGCTCTTGTTGGTTATATTGATGACCTACTTTTTCATTCAACATCATTTCAATGATGTTTTATTTTGGAAGATCTTTATACAAACATCTAACTTCTTCCTGCAATTATTGATAAGGTTTCCTTTGTGGGTTTCGGTAGAGCTTCACTTTTACTCCATCAATTTTTTAAAATTGAAATGCCTTCATTTGATCAAATATCCTACTTTGATAAATTATCCTTCATTTGGTGAGTAGACATATGTTACTCGTTCTTCATACTCTAAAAAGAAGGATGTGATCTAGTATCTTATGGATAATGCCTAATTTTCGGATTATCCTATGAACTTCGTCCACTTTTCGACGATTATTATATGACATTAAGCATTAAGGCGGAGTATCAAGTACCTTATGCTCATACCCAAATGGTTTAGCTAATTAATAAAGTTATGGCTTATTAATAAACCATTATTTTTCAAATTTTCAATGTGCCGGATACTTGGTGGGGAAATGCAATATTTATGCTAAAAATTTCGGCACACTGCATATCCTTATTCCCCCTTACATATAATACGTGGTTTTTCAAACAAACATTTCCCTAATCTGCGTTTCTATCCTTATGAATGCGGTCCAATCTATTACATAACCACCATAACGTATCCATCTAAACCTCCATCTGTTGTCTCCAATATTTAAATCCCCTGAGAGAGATGCGATGGATACGCTGACTGCATGAAGATCGGTTCACGGCATTAGGGGGAGATATGATCAAAATTGAAATGGAATGCCGAGAAATTTTAT